ATCTTTTTTACTACTGGTGATATCTGCGGACCTCTACTAAAGAATTCTTGGTTTTTATGTGCGTTTTCAACTTTTATCTCTATACTTAGAAAGAAATGGGGAAAACTATTGTTTTTTTTCTCCAGAAGCTAAATCCTACAAGTGGGGATCTAAACCACTCTATGCTGATTAATCAGGAGCTGGTTTAAGCTCCATTACATGTGAGTTTCCAATTGGGGACCTACGTGTTGTGTATACATCATTTAAGTTGGCATATTGCACTACTGGTCTTTTGTGTTCTTATTTTTTATCCAATTTGTTACCAAGAAGTGAAGACAGCATCAGATATATCGTATAAAAATGTGTGAAAAGAAAGGCTATTTTGGGACTGTTTTTTTACCAAACCTGGTACTGGTACTTTTATATAGCCTGATACATTTTCTTGATTTTTACCATTTTTATATTAGTAAATAGGTTTTATTGTATACTTTTTTGTGTATATTTTTACCCTTTGGTTTTTATATATTCTGATTTTCATTCTATTGCATTTGGTTGTTTTTTCATTGTTTCTTAATTGATTGTTTAGCGATTTTTTTCTGTCTTTGCCTTTTATAGGTTTTGTATGTCTTTATTATATGGTTTAAAATGTATGGGTTTAGTTTTTGGAGCCAAGAAAAGATTTATTGTCCATGCAGTGTTGTCCAGAGTTGTTTGTCACTTACCTATTTATAAAAGGTTGAATGTGTACCAAGAATATCCATACTAGATCCTTCTTTCATTTTACTTACCCTCTCTGGCACTTACAGGACAAGTCATGCAGATTTTTGTTGTCTATATTAAATGTTATCTTGTTCACTAAAGAAATCCCCAATATTTACAATGCAAATCCCACGTCTCAGTATTCAAAAATCTTGTCGGTGTCTGTTACATTGTACAACAAGTCGTTAAACTAATGATCCCTTGCTTAGTATGGTTTTCTGACATAGATTAAAGAGATAAATGATGCAGTTAGTTAGCTATGTTGTGAAAATATCAGGTGCTGTACGTAGTTCTTATTTGCCAACTACCAGGAGTAAAAAAAGGGAATTTGTGGGCAGTATTATTGTAAGATTTACGACTGTGGTTTTTGTGTGCTGTTCTATTAATCTATATTTTGTATATATTTGTATATATTAGTCTTTGCTCATTTCTCAGCTGTGGTGCAACTGCAAAGACCAATACATACAAAATAAGGATTAATAGAAGAGCACACAAAAACTTTAATCTTAAATCTGACAATACAAAATGATAAAATAGTAGAAATACAGTAAAAAGGTATGTGTGGTAGCTAAAACAGCCACAAACCACCTAAGTGGAAACCCCTTATACCACTTATATAGAAATACAATGCATACATACAATAGGTGGAACACACATCTGACGGTTCTAGAAAAAAGAACAAAATATCATAGTGTAATACTTTTAAATATAATTATGATAGATGGCAATAGGGCAATATTACTCACAAGCCCAGAGCCAGTATGACATATGGCTCTTATGTGAAGCGCAGTAATATTGATCTATTGCCATCTATCATAATTCTATTTAAAAGTATTACACTATGATATTTTGTTCCTTTTTCTAGAACCGTCAGATGTGTGTTCCACCACCTATTGTATGTATGCATTAAATCTGACAATGTTACTAAAAATCACTCATCTTAATAAACAAATATGGGGATGCAGTTGCACCATATGGCCATACTGTTTTAAGCCCACAACTATATCGCAGTACCCCAATATGGGAGGTCGTATACTAGTTTTAACATGGAAATAAACATGCTAAGTGCAATACTTACTGCTTAAACTGCTTCCAGAGACTGACCTCAAATTTTTGCTTCCCTGTGGTCACCTCCAAAGGGGCACCTGGACTTCCATTTGGGTTAGCACTCTGCCCCCTCCCCTCCCCTCCACTAAAATAGCCATAAAATTAAAATGTAAAATAAGATGACACTGCAAAGTCATGGGTTTTGTACATCTTTTAAAGATAGTAAAAATGTGAACTTGTCAGGACCTATGGGGGTGGTGGTTGTATATATAGAACATTTGTTTTTTCTGTTTACTATATACAGCACATTTTTGTATTTGTTTTTACCTGTTTTTTACTTACTTTTTTAGCTTATAAATAAATTGTTTATACCACTACTACAAGTTATTGATACTACATTGTATTTATAATTCCAGCTGTGCTACGCAGCTACGTATATATTATATACCTTACCAAATATTTTTTGTTCACTCCTTACATTATCGGTGATCTTTTTCCATTTACTAACATATTATTTATACTATACCTGCTTTAGTAGATAAGTACAAATTATAGTCCATTCCTGGGAATACAACACTCCACCTAAATGTTTTTTAATTTATTGGTGTAAAAAACAACCCTGAAGAAAGAGGTAACTTAAGCACTATGCCACTACACTTTAATGTCTATTGGAGACATACTAAACAATATCCAGTTATTTAAATGTGCCTATTGATTTGGTATAGTGCACAAGTAATTTTTCTTGTTTTTTTTGTTTTATTGTATGTTTTGGGGCTGATGTGTACTATGGTCATTCCTGCCACACAGGAGTAGTGGGAGTCTGAGTGCACAGCTTATTTTTGTGTATTTGTATTCACTTTTGTATCACAAAGCCATGTCACAATGCTGCCACCAACCCCATGTGTTTCCTATTAAGGGTTAATACGTATGTATGAGTTTATAAAAATACCCCTCTCTGTTTTGTGATGGAATAATGGAAGATAATTTGACCCCAGGCTCAAGCTACTAGGATGACCGGATGTCCATTCTGTTTTTAGTTTCATGTTATGCTTTTCACCTTTAGTCTAGTTTCGACTGTCTGATAAATAAGCACAAGTAAGCATAAAATCATAACTTGTGACATTCTGTGGTTTCTGAGGAGACATTGTCTACCCTCAACAATCCCTCTGATGTCCTAATGTTTTTGATTTTTTATATATATATATATATATATATTACCATTGAAATATGCTTAGTACTGTAAATTCCTTTTATGGAAGTGTGGCTTTGCCCATCCGGTTTTTGTCACTCAAGTCACATTGCTGTTCTTATACGAAGTACTATATAATCTGTAAGCTTACAAAATAAATCAGGAAATCTTTGAATCAAAACTGTCTGGTCTGATCTGATTACTTTGCTCCGAGCAGCTCGAATAAAAAGTTTGATTTGGTTTCCAACTGAACATATCTGTGGGTAACTTTTTATCTATGACAGTTTCCTTAGAGATTTTTTACCTGAAGCTGGTGAATTGTTAGTGTAGGACTAACAGGTTTTGTCTTGAAGTTGCAGGTGGACCCACACTTTAATGGCCATTATAGTAATACTAAAAACCTCCAGTCTTTCAAAGGGACTCTATAGTGACAGGAATACAAACAGGTATTCCTGTCACTATAGTTATGAAAAAACAATGTAGTGCAGAGGTGGGCTACAAAATTAATAAAAGGAATGGAACATATCGGCTATGAAGAAAGGTTAACAAATTTAAACCTATTTAGTTTAGAAAAACGTCGCCTGAGAGGGGATATGATAACATTATACAAATATATTCGGGGCCAATACAAACCATTGTGTGTAAATCTATTCACAAACCAGACTTTACATAGGACACGAGGCCATGCATTTAGACTAGAAGAAAGAAGATTTCGTCTAAGGCAAAGGAAAGGTTTTTTTACTGTAAGAACAATCAGGATGTGGAATTCTCTGCCTGAAGAAGTGGTTTTATCAGAGTCCATACAGATATTCGAACGGCTACTAGATGCATACTTGCAAGAACAGAATATTCAAGGATATAATCTTTCAATGTAGGGTAATAACTGCTTGATCCAAGGATAAATCTGACTGCCATTCTGGGGTCAAGAAGAAATTCTTTTCCTAGCTTGTTGCAAAATTGTGCTTCAAACTGGTTTTTTTTTTGCCTTCTTTTGGATCAACAGCAAAAAACAAATGTGAGGTAGGCTGACTTGATGCAAGTCTCTTTTCAGCTATGTAACTATGTAACTATGTAACTGTAGGCCCCCGGCCCCCAGTCAGCTAGCTAAAAAAATGACTTTACTTACCTTTCTGCACAGGTCCGTCATGGCTGGCACCGCTTTCGCACCACCCCCATGGCTAAGATCATTAAACTTGATGATCTCAGCCAATCCAACGCTCTCCCATAGGAGAGGTTATTGTGCATGTGCGGCGAAATGCTGTGCTGCGCCAATCAGCATCTCCTTATAGAGATACATTGAATCAATTAATTTCTATGAAGAACGTTCAGTGCCTCCATGCAATGCGTGGAGGCGCTAAATGTCAATGGTGCACATTGTGCAGCCTTGACCCAGGAAGCACCTCTGAGTGACGGCCAACAGCGTTGTTCCTAGGCAGTAATGTAAACACTGTGTATAGAGAAAAGGGCGTTTTGCGCACACAATGGTAAATTAGTGGTTAATTTATATCTGCAAGGTACAATCATAAAGAACCATCATAGGGAAATACGTATATTCAAAATATAAAATAGAAAGTAACTTGGAGCACTCACAAAAGAAAGAGCCATGTGAGTCGGCTCTAAACTATGATGGCATGTTCATACATCCAATATTGGTACTGGAAAAGATGCAGGTCCCCCAGAAAAGTAACAATATTCCTCTTGATGATATTACAGGAACCAGGTATAAAATGCAAAGTTGCTCTTTATTTCAATAAAACTTAAGCACAACGCATTTCGACCAATAACACTTGGTCTTCCTCAGGTGCAATACTGACAGGTAATACCATAGACTTTTATACCTTATACAATAAATACAAATAAAACACAAATGTAAAAACTTAACAATGTTCCCACCCTTCTTCTCCATATATGGAAGTTCAGTTTTTCCTTTGCCTCCTCTAATATGGAAGGCAGTCGATGATTTCTATGCATAGTTATGTGCAGAGACCTTCTCAAAATGGCCGTGCGTTGCGGTCGATCACGTGTAGTCAGATTACTTCCGGTATCAGCCTGTGATGAAACTGTTAATAGCTCCTGACTTATTCCTCTTCTGCAAGATCAGACTAATAGTGCTTGAAAACGCCATAATTGAGAAGGGAAGGGAATGAGGGGATAAATAATAACATATTAGTATATAATACGAAAATGAAGTATATCAAAAGTACTTGAGGACATAATATATCCTAAATAGAATGCATATTTGCTAAATACTTCTTAATTTAAAATTAATAAACTTTATGAAGACATTAAAAACTGTTATTGATATTTAAACAAAACCAAATTAATATGGTAAAAGGATATACATATTATTATTTTTTTTTTAAATTGGTCCAATTTCAAAGTCTATGTTTAACCCTTTAGGGTATAGGGTCTGTAATTCAAAGAACTAGATCCAAGAACTTTCTCTTTTACTAAGATTAAAAGCATCATCTCCACCTCTCCAGTGAGTTAAAACTTTTTGTATGGCCATAATTTCAATTTCTTTAGGATTGGACTGGTGGACCTCTAAAAAATGTTTGGACACACTGTGATTTAAAAATCCTTTTTTTTTTAAATTTCTAATGTGTTCATTTATACGTATTTTAAGGGATCTTGATATCTTTCCTACGTATTGTAGCCCACATTTACATTTTAATAAGTAAATCACATTTTTGGATTCACATGAAAAAAAAAGAGGAGATGGAAAAATTCTTATTAGTTGTGGAGGATGTACATTTTTCTCTATTTTTCATTCAATCTGAAAATATTATCTGAAAAGTCAAGGTTTACATTACTAAAGCCCGCAGGGACAGGTTGTAGACATCAGCTACATTAAGCTGTTGATTATAGTGTCTTTTTAAATGTGCATAGGAATTTGGGATAATACGTTTTGCCTTGTGTTTTTATTGCATGTATTGGGGCTGATACGTACTATAGTTATTGCTTCCAGGAGTAGTGGGAGTGTGAGCACCGGGCTTAATGTTGCATGTTGGCAAAAAGTTCTACCTAGATCTATCAAGTTTGAAACTCCAAGGATCTGTGTTTTGCTGGAATATTTGAATGTTTAGATTGATGGATTACAGAGAGAAATTCTAGTTACAAAATTTGAATTCAGCTGTAGAAAGTCGACCAATTGTATATCTAGATCTTACAGATTTACATTTATTCAAAACCAGTCCAATAAGAGACCATGACAGACCGGCTAGGCTGAGGGACTTGTCTTGTTTGTGTAGAAGAGACACATATTAACTTCAATTTGTTCATTGTTACATTCAGATTCAACAAATTTGAATGGATGACACAGAGAGACTGAAGAAGAGTTTTAGCCATTACTGAAGTCTTTGAAAAAAGACATAAACGCTTTATTGATAAGGTTCTCGACCAGAAATATTTCCAAATTACCCTGGACAAGGCTGCACCATAAAAAACCAAACATTTCCAAGGAGAGATCTAATTATGGATATTAATTATAAAATAGCACTCTGTGTCTTGGTGCTCGAGGCTAGTCTTGGGATTTTTCTAAATGGCTTTATATGGTTTGTCAATTTAATGGATTTTATGAAAGATAAAAATATAAGCAGCAACAGTAAAATACTCCTTGCTGTGAGTATTGTCAACATGACCGATGCTATCTGCTTTCTTAGCAAAATAATTGTACAAGGTTCAAAATTAGCTAACTGTGACTTAATTTTTTGTTATTTGTTAACGTTCACTTTTACATCTACTTCTTGGCTGACTGCCTGTCTGTGTTTCCTCTATTTTATTAAAATAATAAACTTCAGGGTGGGTTTTCTGGCTTGGATTAAATTGCAGATAGATGTTACGGTGCCCTGGCTGATCGTGGTCGTAGAAGTGGTTTCTTTTTGTACCAGTTTCCTTTTCCTATTGGCATGTCATGATGGTGAAGATCAAGGAGTATCCAAAAACACATCAAATATCATTTCAGCCAACCCAACATCTGGAAGAAATATAGACATGTCAATGTACTTTTACATTGTATTTTTTAGTACCTGTCCACCATTCCTCATCATGATTATCACTACATTCTGTACTATTAGGTATCTCGGGCTGCATGTTCGTACTATGAAGAAGTTTGGCAACACCAACCAGGAATCTCATCAAACTGCTGCAAATACAATGACAAGATTTCTAGTGTTTTATTTTATGTTTTATTTAAACATGGTTGTTTTTACTTTTGGTAATATTACCTTGAATTCTTTATGGTATTATATAGAGGTGGTGCTAGCATTTTCATTTATCCCTGTTCAATCTGTTCTTCTGATTCTAGCCAACGTCAGGCTGAAGGAAGCTTGCCAAAAGATATACATATTAATATCACCTACAAAACTACTGAATGTGTTGACGGTTTGTAAATATAACACTAATACGTAACTGAGATAAATCTCTCTAGTGTACTTATTCTCTACTATGATTGTATGTTATAACTGCTGTGAGATTTGTGTTAAAATTGCTCCAGTCAAACATCAGGCAAACGGTAATCAAATGTCCATTCTATAAGAAATAAAAAAGCACCGCTAAAGTAAGAATAGATTGCGGAATATTATTGATAATGGATAATGGAGGGATGAAAGTAATGTTATAGGTACAATTACCCTGGTCTTTAAAAAAGGGTATTAGATTAAACAAATTGAAGATAATTTGTTTGCAGTTCAGCTATTAGTGAATAATCATTATAGGAGCTGCATAAAGAATTTTGGCTGAATTAATGGCTTAAAAATTATAGACAAATGGTAATACACATACATTATTAAAGGGACACTATAGTCACCAAAGCAACTTGAGCTTAATAAAGCAGTTTTTTTGTGGATAGATCATACCTTTGAAATTTCACTGCTCAATTCTCTTGATCTGTAAACCAAAACTATTCAATAAACAAGAGCCGTTTTTGGTGACTATAGTGTCCCTTTAATAAATTGACCCCTTGTGTTTGTCTTGTCCTGTAGCTGATAGTTTGACTAACGTCCCATATTTGTTTATAGTTGGGACAGATATCAGAAACTTATTTTTTTTTTATGTGTGTACTGCTCTACTGATCGCTGGTTGTGTATGTTGTATATATTTCATTAAAGTTCTGTATTGTGTTTCCTAATGCCTACATTTTTATGGAACTGAGGAGAGCAGGAGAGGAGCTCATTTATGTTGGAGTTAAACCCCTTCACTATCAAGTGATATGCAAAATCCTCCTCCAGAATCCATGTATTTTGGGTGTCCTGGGAAGTATTTTTTTTTATTTATAGATATTCCGCAGCGCTTTACAATAAAAGGGGAATAAAAGGGTAATTTACCAAATAAGACAATAACAAAATGTTACAGGAACAATAGGTGGTTGAGGAGCTTACAGCCTAGAGTAAATTTTAATGTATTTTTCATTTTTTTCTATGCAAATCATCAGCATGAGTAACCAGTAACTAACCTCATGCTGATGATTTGCATTAACAACGAAACATGTGTCCATGAGTGGTTCACTGGCTTTGCATCTTTTCCTAAGTTGTGTTTCAAAGCTGTTGTATACTGCAAACACAGACTCAAAGGTATGTTTAAGATGGAATGAGGCAAAAATGTGATTCTTTGTTAAACTAATTTGCATATGCCCACCCAGAATCCTTTGCGGTAGTAACATCACTGCAAATTTGTAAATTTCTGTGGGTAAAGCAAGTCTTATGGCTTGACTGGTGTGCAGATTTTTGTTTGACATTGTATTAACTATACTTATATATATAGCAACAGTGATCAATACCACATCTGAAAGCATATTAAAACAAAGTAGATATATGTAGTTCAAAGCATTAGGAAAGACACAAGACCATATCCCACAATGGATATATATACATCTTTTAGGAGTCAACAAGGCTGACTACATATAAGGTTTAGGTTGACTCCTAAAAGATGGTTGCCTACTTACTTCCAGGAAGAAAACAGTGCAACTGGATGTGATGTGTTGGAATCGCAGCCATACCTGTGACGTACCGAGATAGCAACAGTAATCTATACCATATCTGGAAGCATATTAATACAAAGCAGATATATGTAGTTCAAAGCATTTAGAAAGACACAAAACCATATCGCACAGTGGGACCTGAGAAATAGATGTAATGTCCATGGCACTATCATAAATGGAGGAAAAAAAAGACAGCAAAAATGTGAACTTGTTGGGACTTGTTCAGAGATTTGCTTTGGCACCGTCAAACTCATCCAGTGGACTCTCCTCGATGCATGCAGTGTTTTGGGACTGGGACATAGGTTGCCTTCCGCAGAAGTAAGTATTTGTTGGAATTAGCAGGAGCCATATTAGTGTGCTACCTCACCCATTATCTGCTTCGCTGCCAACTAATAGCTGTGGATATGGTGATTGGGATAGCTATTACCCTGTGTACCTCCTGTTTCACCCAAAGTTGCTACAGGACAGCATCCAGGTATGCCAGGATTCAGGACTGCACTAGGCCTTGCACATCAGGAACACATGGGATGGCCATCATGTGAGGTGCAGTCTGAGAGGTTGTTTGCCACGTTATGCTGGACTGTGGTGTCTCAAGACTTGCGGGGCTGGGATAACCCCAACCGGCCCACGGGGAGAGGAGGGGGGCATACAGGGCCCTTAATGCTACAGTCCCAGGTAGGCCATTGTACGTGAAATCGGCCACTTCTCCCACCAATGCCCTACACCATGCCTCAAGGCTTGACTGCCAGATAGCATGCTCTGTAAGCAGGTTTGAAGCTGGTTGTAACAGAAGAAGGTGTACAATAGTTTCCCCTCTCAGATTAGCTTCAGCCAGTGTCTGAATTCAGCTTGAAAAATAAGTTTGATGACATTTTGAGAGAAAATGCTGAGGAGCTGATGCATTGTGCGTCCTTCCAGCATGACGGTCAGGCCCCTAGAACATGGGAAGTTTGCATTTTGGAATGTCTTCTTATCTGTATTTTTATAATTTTTGGCTGACAAAGAAATTGTTTATACCAATACTATAAATTATTTACACTACGATTCTTTATTGCAGTGAAGTACAGTGGATTTTGGTGGCTCTAAAATATGTGAGTTTTTTATTGTTTTATACCTAACCACCCATATTTGTTTCACTTATTGCACTTCAGTGGTCTTTTTCCATTTTCTTATAGAATTGTTTGTAGATAAGTACAAACTATAATTCCATTATTCGAAATACAACGCTCCACTTTTTTTTTAATAAAAAAATCTACCTAGATCCATCAAGGTCAAACCTCCTAGAGCCTGTGTTTT